GTCAAAACAACTGCATTGAACATACCTGTCTGAGTGCCATAAATATTCTTTTTCCAAATTTTGCGTGCCTGTAACTCAAGATGTATTAGAGATATCTCAATATGATTTTAGATTCTAGCTTTTAATAAAATGTTCTTTTGGAATCTTGATTTTCAAGGCCCTATATCATTCAGTCACAGAGATATGGGGATCTCAATGCAGCTCCATATTCAGATTGTTGAACAATACCCATTTTCAGTGGTCAAAAACCAAATGTTGGTCACTTTGTATACAGCTGATACTTATTTTATTTAAAGAACAATGTCTGAAGAATAAATAATGTTGAAACTAGAATTGTAGCTTGTTTGCTTCTATCAGAACAACTGAATAGATTATACCTGTCTGAGTGCTAAAAATGCACTGAATTGGTCCAGTTGAGGCACATTAACTTGCTCTCAGTGGTCTATTCACAAGGTTCTATAGTTGAATCAGTTTCAGGGATATTTAGAAGAAGGGATTTTGTTCATTTTAACAGCTTCTGAACCTACTAAGAGTTCAGATATGCAGTATCGCAGCTACGCGTCTGAAACTAATCCCACATCTCATGGGGAAAAGTGGTTGCTCTCCCCACACATTGTATGCATCAATAAACCAAGATTTGGATTAATTATAAGAATTTTTTTTTATTGTTGTAACAGATGATAGTCATAGATCAAGTAGTATCCACTGCTAAGGGGCATATTTGGAGGAATCACTGATAATACCTCAAACTTTGAAACATTTAAGGTCTCTCACACTTGTTAGAGAAGATAACCCTGGGTAATTCTAAACTCTAAGTAAATGGGATCCTGGGTAATCTTGGTTTACATTTCACACTGTTCGTACTTTCGTACCCGGAGTTAACGATTAATCCTGGTCATTCATAATCTTACGTGTCACACTGTACATTCCTAAACCCAGGGTTACTGTTATTATTTGCATACTTGCCGTGTCAACAGTCATAACTAGACAAACACAAAATCAAATTTGGTTTTCAACCATTGAAAATGGGTAGGACTCAACAATTTGAACATGGAACCACATTGAGATCCCAACATCTCTGGGATTAAACCATACAGGGCCTTAAACATGAAGATTCCAAAAGAAAAGTTTTTTTAGGAACTAGAATCTAGACTAAAATCATATTAATATATCTTTAATTCTTCTTGAGTTCCAGGATCGCAAACTTCGGAAAAAGAATATTTATGGCACTCAAACAGGTACGTCCTATGTAATTGTCTTGATAGAGGTAAAGAAGATACATTTTTAGTTTCAACATGACCTATTCTTCAGACATTCCCCTTTAAATAAAATAAGTATCAGCTGTATACAAAGTGACCAACATTTGGTTTTTGACCACTGAAAATGGGTATTGTTCAACAATCTGAATATGGAGCTGCATTGAGATCCCCATATCTCTGTGAAGATCAAGATTCCAAAAGAAAAGTTTATTAAGAACTAGAATCTAAACTCATATTGAGATATCAATACTTCTTGAGTTACAGGCATGCAGAATTTGGAAAAATAATATTTATGGCACTCAGACAGGTACGTTCAATGCAGTTGTTTCGACAGAAGAAAACAAGATACATTTCTAGTTTTAACATTATTTGTTCCTCAGATATTCCTCTTTAAAAGAAAAGAAGTATTTCATATTTATGCAAAGTGACCCACATTTGGTTTTGGACCACTGAAAATGTGTACAATTTAACAGTTTACTTCTGGAGCCATATTGAAATTCAAACATCTCTGGAGCTGAACCATACAGGGCCTTAAAAATGAAGATGCCAAAAGGAAAGTTTGTTAAGGCCCAATATCTAAAGGGCATCAAGATACCTTTAATACTTCTTGAGTTACAGGCATGCAAATCCCATTTTTCAATGGTCACCACTGGCACATAATGCAAAAAAAAGGATTGCTGAAGTCAAACAGATTTTACTAATAGACCTACCAATCTCTGTGTAAAAATAACATAAGGATGCTACCATTCTGAATCAGAGGTAAAAATTTTATTTTTGAACCCCCTCTATAAAATAGTGGATTACTCAACAAATACACATCCATGACATTTAATATTTTGGCTTTCATCACTATACGTTTAACTTTCTTCAGGAAAAAAAATATTGACAAAATCAAAAATTTGAGCTGGGTAGGTTTCTGAAATTTGGTTGATTTGACAAAGAATGACCCTTATATGTTTGCAGTTTTCTAGGTTTGTGCTGAGTTCCACATATCACAGGAAACAACATGCACAAGCAAGATGTCAGAGACATTGTGTGACATTCTAAATGTTTATGATCTTAATGTGAGTTTTAATTTGTCAGCACTAAATACCTCCATCACTATCTATAAAAGAAAGTTAGCATGCTTGTTTAGAATGTTCATGTTTGCTTTGTCATTGAAGGCTGTACATGATGTTGCTCTTTGTGCTCACCTGGTGTACCTGTGTGAAGAGGACCCACAGTTCTTAAAAGATTTGAAAAGCAAGTATTAAGTGCATTAACAGAACTGCTAATATCAGTAAATGCAATTGTCTAGTTTTAGTCTAGTAAATTAAACTTACAGATGGACCCTCTATGTTTATTCCAGGTGGAGTCGCCAGGCGAGCCAGACATCACTAACGCTCCTGCCATTGTGGTCAATGAAAGCACTACAAGTCCTGCAAGCACTGCAGCTGTGAAGAATGATCTTCCGGTGTTTTGACATGTTCAGAAACACTTGTTCAAACAGTCACAGTGTTTCAAAAAAATACAACTGAATAAACAACTCTTCAATTGTACAGCTGCAGTTGTGTTTTTTTATTTATGCTGAACTTTAGCATGATTAGCCTATGAGTAATGCATACAGTAGGTGTATTTTCTGAGGTAGTATTTGTATTCAACAAAGTACTACTGCATCAAAATTGAAATTAAAAACATTATATATGGTATAGTTTAAAGTACAGTGCACTTAAATATTAAATCAAATAAAATGTAAACTTTTAAGTTTGACTCAATTGTAATTTATAATAATTGTTCACTTCAAAAAAAAAAAGATGAGTTATTTTACTTAAATGTTTTGATGTAATCGTTTCCACAAATTTTTAAGTATTCTGAACGTATCAGGTTTTATAGTGTACAGTGACTATATTTCTCTGGGGAGAAATCTGCATCGAGTCTATGGAGTTATGACACCGGTGGGGCCCAATTTCATGATTTCATCAAGAGCCGCACAAACCCATAAATTGGCCCCAGTTGTCAAACTCAAGAAAAGACCCCAAAAAAACAAAGCAATACTTTTTACAAAACACCCTACTAATGATGTAGCTTGTCCTTTTAACTATTCACAGAACATTCACTCAAAACAGGTTTTTGGGCCATTGCCTGAAAAACAACAAAAGACCTACAGCATGATGTCAGTGTCACTCTGATTATTTGGGAGTCTGTAATTACTTGTCATTTAGCAGACACTTTTCATCTTAGGTGTCTTACAGTACAGAAATTACAGACACAGCCCCTATATAGCAACTTCTAACAGTGCCGCCGTGAAAATTCAAGGGGCTCAGAACAACATTTAGATGGGTGGGCCCTCTCACCCCCGAGCCGTCAGTGAGCCTTCCTCACCACAGAGCCTGAGACATCGTTCCTGATTATCCCCCACCCCGCAGTGATGGTTCTGCCTGGTTGCTCATGGACAAAGGTTTAGATCTCAGTGCAGTGTTATTTTAGCTTAGTAACCCGTTTAGCATGACTAACAGAACTGCAGAACTGTTTAGCTTTTGAAGAACTGTAGAAGCCACTAAAAAGACATAACAGGACATTTTAAAATGAACAGTGAAAAAAGTGCTACCAGAATTGAGTAAAGCCGAAATTTGATTGTCATTACCCTGCTCAGTGAGATTGTCATGTTAGTGAGATATTTCACGTGGATGTGCTATGGCTTCCGTCAGGAAGAAAATGAAGAACTCTCTTTCCCAGTTAAAACCACAGGAGTTAGTTTACTGAATGAGTGACAAACATGCTGGCGGGAACCATCTGCCCTGGTAGTGTGTGTCCCTCATTGATGAAGCATTGGAAGGAGGGCAGATTTAGCAATAATTACAATTACAATTGTAAAACACAAGATAACAAAAACTCGTAAAAATATACTAAATAAAAAATCAACAGGACTTTTTCCTCTCTTATCTGATGTCTGCACTACATTAACTTTTCTCTCCCAAGAAAATGGTGTATATATTCTGTGATGATTATTTATTTTTCTTCAATTTTCTTTAAAGCAACAGTTCATCCAAAAATGTAAAAACCCTGACATTATTTACTCACAGTCATGTTGTTCCAACATAACCTTTTTTTTTTCTTCTATGAAGCATTAAAATTATATTTTGGGAAATGCCTCGGGGGTTTTTTGGCCCATACATTTGTAGTCAATGTTAACCAAAACTGTTTGGAAACCAACGCTTTTCAAAATATCTTCTTTTGTCTTCCACAGAGGGGGGAAAAAACAAGTCACAAAGGCTTGGAACAACCTGAGGGGGTGAGTAAATGACAGAATTTTTCTTTTTAAGTTTAAATGCTATTAACCTGAAAAACAATAAAGTTAGTTAAACAGTCACTGAGAGCCAGTTGATGGCCCAAAGAGAGAAAGTACTGTGAGAATTTGGGTCACAGACAGCCTTTAACTGATGTCCACAATGCACATGTGTAGGGAAAAAACATTATTTGCTACCACAAAACAGAACCTATAAACAAATGACAATACTATAACAAAAGAAAAGGCATTCTAATAAAATATTAAGAGAAATTGGTACCTAGAAAACTATTAAAAATCTCAATCTCAATTTGATTAAAACATTCTTTCCCAGAGCATTATATGTAGCAACTAAACACTGTAAATACAGAACAGCAGAGAGGTAGTTTATGTAACTGGTTGTCCACGACAAATGAAACTCCTTGAAATCACTGAAATGGCGCTATCTACTGGATGTTTTACAAATGAACAGTGTCTGAGAGTTGAAATCATTTAATAGCTTTAGAGAAATCAATACTGAAAAAACATCAATGTTTTGATTAATGACAAATACTCATGCCTCCTTATAGGAGACACAGTGTTTAAATTAACATCCTGATTTGAGCGGTTACATGAAACCAGACCATTATACAATGTAACAATTATATCCCCAATACATTGGTAATTTCGAAGTACCTAAAATATAGAATACTGAATATACTGAACACAAATCACAGAACTCACATCTTCTCATTTCACATTAAAAGAATTAGTTCACTCAACTGAAAACGGTCATTATTTACTCACCGTTGAGGTGTTATTTTGAGGAACACAAAAGAAGATTTTTTTTAATAAAGAAGAATGAAATAATTTGGTATTCCACAAAAACTAACAGGTTGGAGTAGATAATGATAATTTCAACTATCCCTTTAACTGTGCTGAAACCTAATGGTTCTGGAATCTCTAAGACATTTGATCTATTCCAACCAGAATTCTACAGCTAATATAGAACATTTTACAAAACTATTTATATATTATTTTATTTTTCTTCTTCAATTAAACTTCATGAAAAGAATATGGATTCATTCGAACTTTAGAAACTGTGTTTGTAAGCAATGTCGCTTGCAAATTAGTCACTAGATTTAAAATAAGCTTCTGCATTCATCCTGTCTGGCCATTTCAATAGGTGATCTTATAAATGGGTTCACCCACATGAAGGACACCTGTTTTCTTTACGCTGTAGTATTGTCCCAATATTGGTGCAGTTTTCTGCTTGGGGTCAGTCAGTCGATAGCTATGAAGTGAAAACAATTAAGTGATAAAAACTGTGGATGACAACATGATATTATGAAATTAACCTTTGCACAGAGCAAGTGCTTCTTACATGATTATATTTCTTGCACAACTATTAGTAATCCTATTTTTTCGACTTTTTTGTTTTATAAAATACTGTATTACTTACTGTATAACTCTGAAACCTTTCTTGTTCATGCACACACAATGCATGACATAATTCAAACATATATAAAAAAATAATACATAGTTTTGCATGTTAATAGAATATTAAGCCCAGAATTTTCAGGGATTTTTGGTTAATAATTTTCATTTTGGTGCATCATTTGTTTATTAAGGTGCTTTACAAACTGAATTCTACTGCTGTATAATAATGCAATTATTTTCCAGATTCTGTAATAATGAAGAGCTTTAAGTCTAACATGCCTGATAACATGTAACTGATTAACAAAAGAACAACAAGCCAAGTTCTTTGGCAAGCAGCACAAAAAGAAAATGTTTGACTGAAATGTTTGCTCTGGGTAAATCTTAAATTAGTCTAATAAAATGCAATATTTCAGTCTGTGTGCTCTTACGTTTTGAGAGTGTCCAGTGGTTCTTTTCGGGTGATGATTCCAGTCTCAGGGTCAACAGTGGTAAAAAGGCATCTGCATATTAATGCACGGAATTATTTTACATTAAAAAAAAAATAAAATGTATTAGAGAACAATGCATATTCTATGTTACCTTCCACAGCCAACAACTCTCTTCAACTCCACTTGGCCAATCTGAATATGATCCCATGTGTCCTAGTTAAGGAATAACAGAGTTTTATTTTACATCATAACACACCTTACATTGCGTAATACTGTATATTTAGTTATACCTCCGTGAAGGCCTCACAGTCATTGACAACAATACTGGGACGAAATTGAAAGACAGAAACATCTTTATCCAATCGGGTATTCAGGTCCCTAACAGAGGCCTCTGACATTAGCATGATTGGAGCAGCATCAGGATAGGCCACCTAAAAAATTGTGAAATATCAGATTAGATAATGGTGGTGATATAAGGAATAACACAAAGAAAGTCACAGGAGACATTAGATCTCTTCTGTAAAGTCATTAAAGTATTTAGTACAATTGTGATATCACAAAATTTCCAAAATAGTGTTGGTTTTGTGTATTATTGGGTAACTGATTTTTAAGACATATGACAAAGCTATTGCAAGAAACCGTACTGGATTTTGACATATGTTGAAAGGAGGTAGAAACATATGTGAAAACTCATAAAAAATTGATTTTAAAATTAAATTACCCTCTTCTGGCGAGATCATTTTAAATCACTTTTTAAATTTTTATTTGTATTATGAGACGTACAGGGCCGTCCATCAAACCTTTTCATCCTTAGGAAAGAGGGGCTCTTTCTCAGAGGGCCTTTGGGCCTTCAGATGAGGTTCATAATGCACCAGACGAACAGTCTTGTCAGATTCCAGGTATCGTGTAAGCCAGTTAGACACATCGTCCCCACAGTCCCTGCCCTGAACGTCTATACTAAAGACTCTAGGGACACAAGCAAATTTATTTTCAATTTTCAGCATGCCACTTCAATTTCAATCGCTTAAAACGTAAGAATGCCATCGAATTACACCACAAAATAGCATACCAAGTGGAACGTATTGTAAAGAAAGTTAGCGCAGGCACACTTTTCAAACATAATGAGTTTGTCAAATGATAAAACAATAGATATATAGTTCAGAATGAAGACCAAAAAGTATTTGGAAACTTTCTGGTTGGTGGAACATGTTCATAGTTAATGTGATGAACTCTTTTGGACACCTGTTTGAACTTGAAGAGAACTGACTTCATAAATAAATAAACGTAAAATTAAATGTAAAAAAATTAAGTTAATAATAAAAGCTAATCCACTATTATGACACTGAAGCCAGTTATACTATGCAATGAAATTCAAACATTTTAATGTAAATATAAATACTTACAGGGCCGCTTTATATAACCCTGCTGAAAAAAAAAAACAGCTAAAACCAGCCTAAGCTGGATGGCTGGTCTTAGCTGGTTTAAGCTGGAAGTAGCTGCTTTTAGCTGATCTCCCAGCCTGGCTAAGCAGGTTTTAGCTGGTTGGCCAGCTGGTCTCCCAGCCTAAGAATGGCCAAAACCCCTCTAAAACCAGCCTGCTGACCAGCTATGACCAGGCTGGACGACCAACTAAAACCAACCAGCTTAGGCTGGTTTTAGCTGTTTTTTTCAGCAGGGGTACTTACCTGCAGTCCACAACTGCATTATTGGACTGCTGAAGAGGAACCCTCAACTCCTCCATCTGCGGTCCATTGAGACACAGCTGGCCGCCTTCACAGCTCAAAGACACCAGCACCAGACGAGGCTGCTGTCTGCCCGTCACCATGTGTCCGTCCTCCGTGATGACCAGCCAGTGCCTGCAACAGACACACGCTCTCTGTGCAGTTAACACTACAGCGAACAAGAACAGCGGTCCATGTTACTCTGTAATGCACAAACTTAAAAGAAAAAGTCTAATGGCCTGCAGCGTCATGGCACGAATTATGGGCGTTTGTCCCTGCTGGGGGAAAAACCCCCACCTAAAACCAGCTTAAACTGGTTGGCTGGTTTTAGCTGGTCGTCCAGCTTGTCTTAGCTGGTCCGCATTCTGTTTTTACAGGGGTTTTGGCCACTTCTTTAGCTGGTCAGGCTGGGAGACCAGCTAAAACCAGCTACTTCCAGCTTAAACTATCTAAGACCAGCCAGCCAAATTAGGCTGGTTTTAGCTGCTTTTTTCAGCAGAGGTGGTGCGTCAGACCCATCGAAATAAGACTTGAACCCCTCCAAAGGTTGCCAAAACAAAGACAGACAACAACAGTATGTATTTTGTTACATACATGTGTTTATATTTTAGGTTTTCAAAAGTTTTGGTAGCCACAAAAGTTACTCCAAGCGCAAAAATAGACAACAGCATGGCAACGGTAAACCATCAAAATAGAAATACTGCCATTGTTCATGTTGTTATTTCATATTTACAGGTCAAGATTTAACAAAAATGTGTAAAAGGCGTTTAAGCGCGTGTAAAAGCGTTCCTTTGCATGAAACGGAATTCACACACTGTGGTGCGTCATATAATTATAGGCAAACATTCCTTTAAAGAGACCTAGTTTAATTAGGACAGTAAATGTATTAGTGTATATTGATGTATTTGCGTCCAAAGAAATTGCATGACTCTAAAACAAAGGTGCAACAAAAACTCACCGATCCCGCAGTTCGCCATATTTCAGCCCCATTCGCAGACATTCTGCCGTCTCCACCAACACTGCTTTCCCGGACTTCATAGGATGAAGCAGCAGTTGAGTAACTACTCCCACTCGAGTGAACTTTTTCTCTGGACGCGTAACGTTATATTTATATACTAGACCGAGTCCAAGCAGAGCAACTGCTGTGCCTGCAGCGCATAATACTACTTCCCGATTTCGGGTGAAGATTTTCACAAGCACCCCTTTGAAATCCATACTTAATTCTCGGCAATACTATCTAAACTGGGATATTGAAACGTTTACAGCATTCACTCAGGCTATCTGATGGAGTGTTTTTATTGCAGCCAATGAAAAGGCGCGTTGCTACCAGGTAGTTTTAAAGGAACAGTCCTCGCTTTCTTTTACACGTTCTGATTCATCAGTAGGTTTTTCCAAAGCAAATGTTTGGTTTCAGTAAAATGTAATCACTTGATCACCCTCTGAAACCACTTTTCTTGGCTGCCGGCAGCTGACATCACTTTTCAACCCTCTCCCACAAACACCTGTCATTCAGACCACTTTTCACTATCTAATAGTGTTGACTAATATTGACTTCCCTTGTTTTTTTTTGTTTTTTTTTTATAATTCTGTTGAAGTCAATGGGGACCAGAAACTGTTTGGTTACCCACATTCTTCAAAAAAAAACTCATTCAAAAAATACGTTTGGAACAATTTAAGGGTGAATGACGATGACAGAATGTTCATTACATTTAGTGAACAATCCCTTTAAATTAATAGGACAGATAAAAAATAAATCCCATCCTACATTTTTTTTCTAGTTGAATATCCTGTTTCACTCTGAACTATGTTACATTACAAGTTAAACGGGTTACAAATGCTTTTTTACTTTAAGGAATGTTCCAGGTTCAAATAAAGTGAATCAAGTTAATACAGTGTTGCAGGGATGATGTGTTTTTGTAGGTCAAACCTTAGAAATAAGTTAGCATTTTAGCACTTCTAGTTCCATTGTCCTGCCCATACAAAACAAAAATATATGAGAATATACTGCAAAATGTAATGCGATATATTGCATAATACATTTCCATATATGGGAAACTAACTAGTGCTTATATTTTTCAATATACTGCAATATATGCATTGACCATGTATGGCTATATTGATCAAATTATTTAGAAATGAAGAGAAAATAGCATTACATGTAATATTCACAAAGTTTTATCCTTTATTGTGCACATATATTGCACATTCATGTTCCCAAATAAATGTGAATGTATATACACACATATAGTGGGAGATCTGTTAGTGTTTAATGTTGTATTATTTCGGAATTTAAAAGGGCTTCTGGTATATCTGAGTTTTTGGGGTTACTGTTGTCCTGAAGAGTAGAGCCTGTGGTTAGGCTGACGACTGGCCGAAGACTATTAAGACTGTATATTAATTTATTTAAAAAGTAATGGCTGTGCACTTTTTTTTTTAGCATGCTGATATCTAGTCTATAAAAACTATATAAAAAACTATAGTCTCTTTGCTAAATACTTTAGTACACGCAGGTGTGCTTGTGCTGTTGCTATTATGAAAATATGAAAGATATAAATAATTATAAAATATATGAACTATATTATACATGTCTATACTGAATGTGTATACACTGCATGAGTAAATATATGTGCAACATATTTCTACACATGCAGTACCATATCTTATCACATGTACATCTATGTTATGAAGTGTATTACTGAATATAAAATTACATATATTCAAATATCTAATTAAATATACTGCCACATATTTTTCAATATATGAAAGTGGCAATTCCTTATGTATTATTCAATATATTGTAATATATTAACACAATATATTACATTTTCAATATACCATTAAATAATTGTATATATTGGTCATTCATATATAAGGAAATATATTTTCTTTGTGTAATAAGGTCTGTGGTGAACACAAGCTCAAGATATTTTCATGTTTTATTTTACAACATAAAATACATAGGTAATGCCCTCTTGTGATTTATTTTAAAGCTCTTACTTGTCTTGAAAAAGATGGCTGCTGACAAGTGACTAAATGGGACTACAGCCCAGGTAGCCAAAACGGTTTGGCCCGATAATGACCCAGATCCGGCAGGCCGGATGAAATAACTCGGTTGCCAGAGTCGGCATGGACATGGAATGAATGACGCCCCAAAATTGGCCCAAATACACTGGCCTGAGTCCGGCTGCCAAAACTGCCGGCATTGGGCCACAATCACGCCGACAAGAATTGAAACACTTAGCCGGTACTGGCCCGAGTCTGGGTACTGAAACTGGGCCAACACCACCGGCATTGGGCCACAATCACACCGACGAGAAATGAAACACTTAGCCAGTACTGGCCCGAGTCTGGGTACTGACACCGGCATTGAGCCACAGTCACACCGACGAGTGGCCCAATGCCGGTGGTGTTGGCCCGGTTTCAGTTTTGGTTGGCGTGATTGTGGCCCAATGCCGGTGGTGTCGGCTCAGTTTCAGTACTTTATTTTTTCCTTTAGTTTTTTTCCTTCCTTTATTTTTCTTCTTTTTAGGAAACAAATCAAAGAAAAAATAAACAAATTCTACTGTTAGGTTATCTGAAGGTGAAGGTGTTGTTGAAGTCATGTGACCATGTTGTGTTTAAATTACTTTGTTTAAATTAATTTACTTATAGTTTTTTCCTTCCAACGAATATATTTAGGCTTCAAATTTAATAAAAGTTGTGTTTATTTGTTACGTTTATCATAATGAAAACATGTAAGAATCATAAACTTCTGTTGGCCACAGTGCTCATTTTCTGCAATAATCCAAAAGCCAATGGAAAAAATCTATTGAATTTTTGCTGAAGATACCAGAGTGATGATAAATTTCAGGTTGGCCTACAAAAATATGCCATCAGCAGTCTAGTGCTCTACTAACACAGACAATAGTTTTTAACTATAATCACATATAACACATGCAGTTATGGTAATTGTGTAACCAAGTGTTTTTGAAAGGGTTAAAAAAAATCATGATTTAGTTTGGTTTTACAAACTGTTGGACGAAAATCAAAATTATTTCCTGAATTATTTCCAAAACTATTTATTAAGTGACGGAATGTTACATATTCTACAAAAAAGATTAATGACTGAACTTGGAACATATTACTTATTAGACCCTTTACAGTATAAACATTGTGAAAATACATCCCTTTCCCTAGTTTCACTGGCATTTGACATGATCATATCAATTTCACATGGACAAAAATAAATCTGCTATTCTTTTTATTATTATTCTACTCAGCAAAGAGTTATTTTTGCCCCGTTTCGTTTGGTAAGGACAAAAATAGAAACAAATGTACACTCTGTCCTGCCCCCACTGACCTGCTGGTCAAAGATATTTTCTACCTTTCACATGGATGTAGATGCCAAACGAAAAAAATCTAGAAGGAAAAGCAACAGATGCCGCCACCAAGGGGGGGCAATACAGGCATTTGTTGCAATGGCGTTCCTTCTGTCACTGTGTCATGCAGGTTTAATAGCTGAAGGCAAAGTATTGGGCACAAAGCGCTTTCTCCTTGGCAGGATGAGAAGATGGCACACACTCCTGTGTGGGCCAAGCATAGCCTGATCAGCAAGGCCTCTCTGAATCATGGGAGATACACAGGACACGATGTCCAGATCAGTGCTGAGTGCACTTGGAGTGTCCGTATGTGATAGCTGCTGTTTTTCCTAGAGCTCTAGTTCAGACCAAGGTCATATTTATACTTTGTCTTCAAAGGAATTTTATTTGCTAAACATCAAGAGTAATTAAATACCTCAGGTTCAAGAGTCTAATAAATTTTCCGTGCCGAGATGTTGACTCTGATATCACTGTTACATTGACAACTCTGTCCTAGTTATGAAAAACAAAGTCATCTGCTGCCAGTTCGAATACTGCTTAATCACTCCATGTGACCTCCATCAGGTTAATATACTTCAGGAGCTTTCAAAAGGTCAGATTATTCCCTTAACACACTGTACAGAGCTGGGCAGAATGCAGGAGTCATGTCGGTATATGCCATCTGGATCAACAAATACCTGATAGGTGTTTCATTTTGCTGGTTACAGTAGCACAGCGTATTATAGGAGACTCATTACAGTAATGGAGTGGCAATCTGGCAATAATATCAGATCATAGTATACTTAGTAAAGAGTGTCAGCTGTGGTTTTCTCAACATCGCAACATTGCGAAAACTATTGATCCAACGGAACTGTGCAAATTGCAGAAATGAAGAACTGGCTCCTTTTTAAGGAGCTGAATTTGAGTTGAATTGGCCACACCCCACAGGAAGTTGAATTGATAGGAAGAGGAATTTATTGAAATGTTATTCAATTGTTATTTCAACACAGATTATGTATTCACTAAGGGGATCATGTTCAAAATATGAACATTATAAAAAAATTATAATGAAATGCTTTGTGCTTGCTCGCAAAACTTTTTCTTTCACCTGAGAAACTTTATGTTCTCTCTCAATTAAAATATAGTTTTCCTCCAACCTCATATTTTTCCCATCACCAGTTTAGAGAGTGCGTGCAAAATTTTGTGAGTGAATGCAAATGAGCTATTTGAAGTAGAAGACCATTTGAATTCTCATTATAGTCATCAAAGTGTTGAATGAATATAGATGTGTTGGTGCAAAAAGACTCCTAGTGGAGCTCTTTCATCAGTTCACCTCAATCTTGGGTGGTCCATTCAAGAATCTTCATGTGAATGCTATGAAAATTATTCATGTGACTCATTAGAGATCTACAGTGACTGTATAAGAAAGTGAGGTGATTCAGACAGAGCTACGTCTCTTGGAGAAGAACCTGAACGGTGAGATGTTTCTCAGGTCAGCAGACACAGTGCTAATGGCTGAGCAGCGTTGAGGGTTACACACACAGCCCGTGGGGCCGGGTTCAAAGAAGTGGTGGGGTGATACGTCTCCTTGCTCCATTAGCGCATCGGTGAAGGACAGATCCTGTGGGAGGATCACCATCTTCTCTCGGCTTTTGTACCACAGGCAGGAGCACACCGTCTGGAAGTGAAGCACCTCAGCGTAGACACTCTTCAGCCCTCGCCTTTTATCTCGCCCAACGGCGGCTGGGCTCGGAGGGTCCGGACGCCGTGTAACCGGACCTTTCTGTTTATTTTTGGAGAGCAGCGACTTCTGCTCTGCGTCTCTTCTCACATCCTCGGTGTTCATTGTCATGAACCGTAGCACCACTAGATTGAGGAAAGCACCAATTACTGTGAGGCCCATCAGGATATAAACAAAACTAAAGGCCACGTAATGAGGGTCATTCTGGAGAGCGTTGTCCTTCTGTAGGGCTACGTAGTCCCCGAATCCAATGGTGGTGAGGGTGATGAAACAGTAGTAGAAGGCATGGAAAAAGGTCCAACCTTCGTAGTGGGAGAAGGCAGCTGCTCCTATGCACAAGGTGCTGACGCAGGAAAAGAAGCCGATGATCACCATGTTGACCATGGACACTTCCGGCCGCCGCAGGCCCATGCATTTCTTGGCTTTGTGCAACAGGAAGCGGACAAAGGTGTTGATACGTTCACCCAGGCTCTGGAACATCACCAGGGTGAGGGGGATGCCCAGAAGCGCATATCCCATGCAGAATGCTTTCCCAGCATCCGTACTGGGGGCGGCATGGCCATAACCTTGGGAAGAAGAGCAGGACAAGATAGGTGTTTCAAAAAAATCCAATGTTTTCATAGATGACTTGATGTGACGTTGTATGCTTAGATGTCTGTAGACCTTAACCCTTTCAGACCCTGCATCCATTGACATGGTTTAAACCAGGGGTTTTCAAGCCTGTCCTGGAGGGCCCCCAGCACTGCACATTTTGCATGTCTCCCTTATCAGACACAGTTCTTTCCAATTCAGTTCTTGCAGTCTCCACTAATGAGCTGATGAGTTGAATCAGGTGTGTCAGATGAGGGAGACATACAAAATGTGCAGGGCTGGGGGCCCTCCAGGACAGGTTTTAAAACCAGGGGTGCCCAATCCTGTTCCTGGAGATCTACCTTCCTTCAAAGTTCAGCTCCAACCCTAATCAAACGCACCCGAACCAGCTAAATAAGCTCTTCAGGAACACTTGGGCTGTGTCTGAAAGCTTAAGCAGCTGACTTGTTGAAGCAGGCAATGACTTTGAGCTTTGAGAGAGCTTTGGTGGTAACTAAGCAAATGTTTAATTACTACAATACTAATTTCTTGCTAGAAATGACATCAAAAGTGGAAAAAGTTGGATCACCAACTGCAACTTTGAGGCACCATCTTTATTCTTTTAGCTCAGCTGTCACAAAATGGAACACAAATGATTGTGGGATATCATAGGCAGTGAGGGATACATCCATGCTACCTTCAAAAATTGATCAAAAGAAAGTATCTCAGCCAACAGGATGTAACATGATCTTTGGCTTTAGATGTGCCTTGTTGCCTTCCTACCTCTGTTTGCTGCCTGCGGAGGCAGTATTTTTCAGTTTTTGGACACAGCCTCAGTAGCCCCTCACTGCAGAACACAAGATCCAGGGGGCGTGGTTGGATCCACATCTAGGGGGTGGAGATTGGTAGGTTTAGGGGTGGAGATGGGTGGGTTTAGGGATCAGGGGGTGGAGACGGGTAGGTTTAGGTATATGTAAGGTGGGAGGAGTTGGATCTGGATCTTGTGTTCTGCAGTGAGGACCATCTCCAGTAGCCTTGATAATTACAGACAAGTTTGTTGGATTTAGGGTTGACTGAATTCTGCATGAAGGTATTTTTTTCAGAAATGGGATTGGACACCCCTGGTTTAAACCAATAAAAATGTATATTTTTACAATATGGGTAATGCCTGGTCACAATCATAATGAAGACATGACTCTTAACTTAATCTGACTAATTTAGCTGGTATATATGCTAATTTATGTTCATGCTAGGCACATCAAGTTGCACCTATTATAATATTCATAGTATCAAGTGATATGTTAATTTGAAGATCTTTCAGACTTGTAGAACACTGGATAGTCAAGACCATACCAGAGTAAGCTACCATAAAATAGGTCTTTGGTTCCACTCAGCGTGAGATTTAATGGCGTAATTCAGATTTGCATTGAACAACATTTGTGATCTTTGAGGGTGTATGTCAGTTAAACAACCTCTTAATAAGTCAGAATAAAATTTAAGGTAAACAAGCCTTTCAATAACTTCACAGTTTGTTATCGGCCAGAATCATCAAACTATTCATCAGATACACACACCCCCACGCTTATTTGTACTAGATGTTCTTTAAAATCCTGTAAATATTATTACAGACGTTCATTACACTTAGCCATCCCAATTTTGTTATGATGATGCTGTAAACTCCCCAATGAGGGCAGACTAATACGGCATTAGCCTGGAGATTTATTGAAGCTCTGTGCATTGCTCTCAGTATTAGGATACCAAATAGACTCATGGATCAAGTTTTCAACAAGCAAATTAGGACAATGAAGTTCAAATTATTTAAGAATAATCTACTGTTATGTAGCTAAAACATTACAGGATCTCTGTTCTTGCATTTATCCAGACAAAGGCGATGATAATTCTCAACCAATAAAATAAAGTAAACCATTATGTTCTGTTGTGCGTGACTGTATTTTTTTTATGTACATGAATAATTAATAATCATAATTCCAAAATTAAATGAAAATGGTCATCTAAAAATAGTAACATCAAAATTAACTGGTTCATTCAAGTCAAAAATATGATTTCATACATTACATTTTTCATGAAAAATGTTTGAAGATACACTCTCAGGGAAAAAAAAAAGTTGTCTGAGGCAGTTTCTTTCGAAAGGTACACCTCTGTACTTTATTTACTCCTTAAGAGTGCATATTAATACTGAAATGGCACATATTAGTATCTAAATTGTACATATTTGTAGCCTACCTTTAAAAAGGGTACTGACCTAGTGACAGCTTTTGTACCTTTTTTTCTGAAATTGTATAAATTATGTTGTGTTGTATATAAGTGTTTTTAAGCTCTTTGTGGTCTTTGAGGGTTAAAGGTAAATGCAATTAGTTGTAACTGTCCTTCACACAAGCAATGCAATATCATTGTCTTCAGCTCCTGAAAGCACAGGAGCATTTTGTAGGGTGCTCTTCTAAAAATAACTCATATGACCATTTTTGAATTAATCCACCGGAAGCAGTGACCGAAATCACCATGAACAGTAACACAGGATTAAGCACTTCAATGATGACTGCATGTATGGGGCATTCTTCTTCATAATTTTCTCATTTAGGCCTATCGCTCGCATCCTACAATCTCGCTTCATTTTATGTCTTAGTCAATCTTAGTGAACATATTTCACCAAGACTGAATTCAAATTTGATTGAATTGAATTTTTATTTCATACACACAGCACAGAGTAAAATGTTAATTCTACGTTTAAAAAAAAAAAAAAATTTTGCTGCAGTTGCCAGAACTTTTCCGAGAAAATTCAGTGTTTATAGGGATTTTGGTGACTGTATAGCCTATATTCCAGAGTTCCTATTAATATTAATACACTAAGCTATTTGTCCTGTTGGTTTTCTCTGCTGATAATAACACAGGTGGTGCAATGGAAAACCAAATGATGACTTTAAGTTCATCGAAATTGTAATAATAATAATAACAGTGTGCAATGTCGCCCACGCGAACACAAAATAGCATCAGTAAAACACATATGACACTAAAATGATGCTATGATCTAAATAAATAATGTAATAAAACTAAATACACAAATGTGATTGTTCGTGCAATCACATTTGAATTGTCCCTTTCAACATAAAGGCGATTCATAGTTAAAACTTTCTGAAATTGTAATACATTTGACCATAAAAGTATACGTTTTGCTGTGTTTTTCACACCTTAAGAGAATACAGTGAAACAAACGTGAATAAAATGAAACGAAACGAACAGTTTTCTAAACCTAAAGTTAACTGTATTAGCTTATAGGCAAAACAACAGGCTAAGAAACTATAAAACATCATTAGACTAGAATGACCGTCTTCACAAATTAAAGTCATCAATTAGAGCTGAAAAATTACCTATGGTCGTTATCACAGTGATGGCGAAGTAAAAAGATCCGGCGAACTTCCACTGGACTCCAGCTTTGTGAGGCTTCAGAAGCAACACGACCTTTTCAATCTGATCAAAGTCAAGCCTGGTGAGATTGTATTTATGCATAAGTAGAAATTTTCGATAGTCGAGTTTGCTCTTGTGGCTTTTCTCTTGCTTTGACTCGAGAGCGTCGAAGACTCCCGCTCCAATGAGCAAATAGGACAAAGTGCAGATAATTAAGGCGAGTGTCCGCACGTTTTGTCTCTTCATTTTCTCATAATCGCCTCAAAATATCCCTCAGTTTTCAAAGCTCCGGTCCGGTATGGGAACTTTCCTGATTCATGGCTTGTCATAGCTCCCTTGTACCCCTTGGCAGCAAGAATCCAGCTGAGGGTCTCCTGAAAATCTGCCACAAGGACCGCTATTAAAAGAAGTCGTGTTTAGTGGCGCTGTTCTTTCAGCACCACCCCCAGAGACTCGTACACACACTCCTTATAAGGGCATTTGTTCCTTCCAGTTAGCTTGAGTTCACAGGTAAACTGAGAGAACGAAGAAAGGTTTAAACTGTCACGCGTCATCGAACATATTACATTGTAATTATTGATTGTATGTCACTTTTTGGAGCTGTTTAAATACATCTGGGAAGTGCGCGATTAAAAAAAAGTTCCAAAGGGCAGTTTTGTGATGCCGCAGAAGAACCATTTTAGGTTCCTCAAAGAACAGTCGTTAAAAAAAAACAATTATTTATTAATGTGAAGAATGTTTTAATAACCTAAATAAACTTTTTCAACTATATAAAGAGCCTTTCGTGCATTTGAAAGGTTCAATAGATGTTAAAGGCTCTTCATGGAACCATAGATGCCACAAAGAACCTTTATTTTAAGAGTGTAGGCTATTACTTTTCATGTGATGAATGATGTGTAACATAGACTCTGTAATGTAAAGTGTTACCTCTTCTTTTACATGAAAAATACAAAAATTAAAATACATGTGTTTTGTCATTTTGACCCAGAGAGGATTTTCTTTTTCCCGAAAATGGACCAAAACTTACTGACTTTGCTCACAGAGGAATAACAACTTCATTTAGGGTATACTTTTTGGAGATTTTTTCCCCACCTTGTCACATTTGTGGTTTTCCCAGTCAAAAATCACTGCCCTAAAAAAATAAAATAAAATACAAATACACACTTCTAAGTATCTCACCAGGTTATATTACTACCAAATGTTGTATTCAATATTTTTATCAACTTGTTTTCTTTTAATTAACACAGGTTTTGTATTTCTTGTTGGAATTGATAGGCCTTACTGATCTGAACTTTTGCACCTCTTTTCTAGTAAACATTGCCAAAATTACCTACAAATAATGCTTTTTTCATTCAAAATCTGAGGTGCATATGCTAAGTTAAATGAGGCCTATGACCAATCAGTGCCAAAAATAAATACAAAACCTATACTGATTGAAAGAAAACAAGATGACAACAAGTTTAAATCCAAGATTTGGTAATAATATAGCATAATGATAAATTTACGTGCAATTTTTTATAAACTGGCTATTTTTGAGCAGGATTTTCTGCAGTTAATTCTCCTTGCATTTTTGAACAAGTTTGCTTATGCTTTCTTAATACCAATATAATATGTAGTGTAGTCATAACATACTGCACATGCACAGATTCCTGAATAACTGTATCTAATAATCTGTACGGAAATGAATCATAGACCAATGTCTTACCAAGATAATTTGTGTTCACAACACTGCACATGTAGTCTACAGAAGATTTTTTTTTTTTTATGGGAGGCTTTCAGGGAACTAACCCACTGTAGCTAATGATGTCTGAAACGTGTTCCAATGGAACACAGTAATCCTGACCGCTTGCACTGTTAGCCCACCCTGTGCATATTTCAACAAACGGTTTCCAGGCTTCATAAATTGTTGTCTAGCAACATAATTAACATTCTAGTCCTTGAGTAAATATCAGTGGTCCTTTGTGGGCTTGTGCAGGCGCACCCTTTGCATAACAATTTGCCTTCACAGGCTCTCTGCGCATCACTGCGAATGAAACTGTAGTTCTTTTAATGGTCACAGCATAAGTGGAGGACATTTGGATAAACAGACAACGCAAACCTTTCTGCTATTCTGAACAATCCCGCTGTCAACGCATTGTGCTCCTATCTTTGTCAACCAGTTCCTAGGTTGCATTTTTTTTCTTTGAAAAACAAACGTGAATGTAAAAAAAAAATAAAAATAAATAACAACCATACATTTTATGTCCCACAGTAACTGGACAGCAGATTTAATTCGAATCAATTTAATATAATTATTTTAAAATTATACATAGAAAATGTACAATCTAATATAATCTAATTTACTATGCAGCATTTCTTTAATCAAAATGTGTTAAAAACCATTGACTTGTTTGTTATGGCCACTATTTGATCACATTCATGTTTTAGATAATTATCAATAATTCTCTATCATAATATATTTTCACTTTTTGTTTTTCAGCCTTTTTAAACATAAAACCTCCATTTTATGAATAAGTGTTGTGTTTCATGACACAACATGATGCTGCACCACATTTTGAATGCAAAAGATCTTAAGTTAGCACTAATAAAAAGGTTCCCATAAAAGATGACATGATTTTTCAAGCCAAAGCCTTTGGCACAATTAGCATAAATAAGATCTCAAGAGTGTTCTTAAGGCAACATACACATATCATTTTAGTGCCTTAAATAAGTTTCAGAAATAAAAACTACACTACTTGTGTAGTGTGTACAGACTGTGTAAATAATCCAGTCTTTACAATGGCAAAGACAAAGTGAGGCCATTTGTGGTAATTAGATGAATTCACCTTTGAACAGCAAGAGCTGCCGGTACTCAATATTTATTGGAGAATTTATCAGCCATTATAAGGCTTCGAACTCATCTATTCTCTGCTTTGTGTTGCCCATGCGGATCTGACGAAGCGTCTTGTACTTGTCCCTCCCGGCTTGTACATTTTCATTGTGCAGAATGTCGTTCTTAGTCTTCTTAGAGTCATCTCGCGCGTCGGCCAGCTCAGAGCTCAGGGCCTAAAAGCAATTTAAGATACAGTTAGTCACAATGTACATACCTAATGGGACAACTGAAATTAAAAACATTGAGATGTGAAGTATAATTCATACTAGTGGTGTGATCTGAAAGTGGTGATTTGAGATCAATGTCACCATGATATGAACCAGATAAATGTGGAGTGTTGTTAATAAACAAACTGTATATGAATGAAGCATGTCTTTTATTGAACAGACTGATACAATTTAGGATAATTAGGCTTGAAATTGTAAACAAATTGTAAATCATTGTAGTTTTTTTTTAGCAGAAACTGGTTAATTAATGATACAGTGACTCACTGAAAAAAAAAACACTTGCCTACTGTTGTAATCATGTAAACTACAGAAAGAGTACCTGAACAAATCATTGAACAAATCTGAATCTTTTTTTTTAGTCACTGGTTTGAGTCACTGAGAAAGAAAGGATAATAATGAGTCCTGAGAGAATAATAATGAACAAATCTATGTTTTTTTATTAATCTCCTGAACGAATGATAATATGACTCATAATGCTCAAAAAAAAAAAAAAAAAACTTACCGGTCACCACCTACATGTGTAACAATGTAACCTATAGAAATATAACTAATCTGAACTCATCAGTTTTTAGGTGTTCAAAAAACAAACGAACCAAAGAAAAAAAAACTTGAATCTGTTGGTGAATGAATCTGTTTTTATATTTTCAAAAGATTCAATTAATCACTGAGATGAATCAAAATCCCTACTGCAAATAAGTGTTATGTGTGTATATGAAGGAGAACAAACTTAAAAAGGATAAGACTTGTTTCAGATGTGAACAACTCTGTTTTTAAATTAATCTCCTGAATGAATGATATAATGATTCAAAATCCTCAAAACATAAAACATAACATAACCTCCATAAATAGTTACTGAACAAATCAGTGAACGAATCTGGATGCGTTTTAGGTGTTTAAAAGATTCAATGAATCACTCAGATGAATCAAAATCTCCAATACAAGTAAGTGTTATGTATGTATATGTATGTGAACGAACTGAAAATAAGATAAGACTAGTTTTAATTACGAACGACTCTGTTGAACAAATCTCCTGAATGAATTTTAAAATAAATCATAATCCTCTAAATCTGCAGAAGCTCCAGAAATAGTTACTGAATGAATCAATGAATGAATCTGGATGTGTTTTAGGTGTTCTTCAGAATCAAAATATGATGAATGATTGGGATGAATCACAATCCTTGCTACTAATCCATACGTAATTATGTTTGAGGAAACGTAATAGGTGCGTTACCATGAGCTGTTTCTGCACGCGCTCGTTCTTCTCTGCCTCTGTGATGCGCTCCTCCTCATTGCGGTGGTCCTCTATGCCCTCCACATGGAGCTCAGCACTGTAGGTGCTGTTGTTCTCCTCTTGATCATCGTGATCGTTCTCTAAGGGTTCCTCCATCATGGCCGCAGCCATGGGGGCAGCAGCCACAGGGGACAACATAACGTGCTGCAACTCCTCACGGGTCTTTTCCAGATCGTCCTGTACCTCTTTAGCCTGACAGAATTGAAGAGGTTCATTATAAGAAGAAAAACTTATCCATATTTTCCACTTACATGACTTCAACAATAGTTAGATTAAAAAATCTTAATTAATCCAAAATTTTGACCAGTAGTGTATACTGTTCAAAACTCACCCTGTTCTGCCATTCACTGGCTTCTTCTTCCTTGATTCTCCTGGCTTCCTCCAGCAAGACAATCTTTGCAGTGTATTCTGCCAGTTCTGCTGCCTATATATATAAAAAAATCAAGCTTCAGTTGACTATAAATAAAACAAGTTTTACACAATCCATCACAGAATATGTAGATTTTCACTGTTTAAGGTGCGTTTTGTGTGTGTAAAGGTGTCCCCCCGCTCACTAGCTGCTCCTGATTTTTCATCTGGTCCTCAGCTTGCCTGGCCAGTTCTTCTTTAGCCATCAGCGCCGCCTGTCTCTCAGCCTCCAGACGTGCCGCCTCCTCCTCCACCCGCCGTCTGTCTTCCTCCAGTATCCGGGCCCTCTCAAACTGCTCTTTCAGATCTGAACAATACATAAAATCAACCATGAGTGGGCAGCAGTCACTCAATTATACTCAATTAAACATCATTTATTGCATTTATATGCATGTGCTAGTATGGTAGCTAACTTAAACACCATTCTGCAGTGAAATATTTTGTATAATAAAACATTCAATATCATTATAATAATTATTATTATTACAAATAATTATTTTTATGTTTTAAATATTAAATATTTAAAGCTAAATTTAAATAATGAAATATATACAATATATATGTATAGATCATTCCACTTTTCATTGGGATTTCAATCTTAATTTCAAACAAGACCAAC